TAAACAATTTATTTTCCATTACATTCAATTATTTTATCTTGCGTAACGTTGAATAATCTTCAATTATAGGTCATTGTATTCATCTTAAAATGCTCTATCAGAATGTAAATAAAAAAATATCATTCCATTTAAAAAAACAGATTTGACCTTTGCCTATCTTTTATGTCTCCTACAAAACAATTATTAACATTACATTATGTGCCCCTCGAAGGTTCATTGGTCCTTCGAGCCGGATTTCACGTCTGGTCATTACGTCCAGCATTCGAAAATTGTTATGTTTGGGTAACGCACCGCAATACCAACTCGAGATTACCAAAGAGACGATTTTAAAGATGTCTGATCTTCGCCGAGCACGAGGCTATGTAAAGGTAAGATTAACGAAACTACGAACAAGAATGACGCAAGTAAATGATGAGACAGACACTGAGCTTGACGAGGAACAAGCAGAGGTAAGGCTGGAGAAATTTAGAAGATACGTATAACGATTTCGAGTCCATACAAAAGCAATTACTACAAAAAGAGGGAGTCGCCTCGCGACTCTACACGGATATTAGCGCGACGGTAGCGAGTGTGATGACGTTGAGTCATTTCCATGCGAGACGAGAAGATGCAGAAAAATCCGCGATTGCTATTAAAGATAAAAGTAGTGAAAACTGTATCGAGTTAATCATTCACACATACACAATATTTGATTGCAACTTTTGTTTGATACTTTTTCTTCTATTGTTAAAAATAAGCGAGTTATTCAGGTGACCTGTTTCAAATCCCCCCCCCCCCGTGTACTACAATAAATAAATCATAATACAGAAGAAATAAGATTTTTTGCAATTACCATTTATATTAAGCTTAATATAAATGTATAAAATTGTATGCGAAATTCAAACGTGTGTGTGTGGGTGTGTGTGTTTAATGTAATATGCATTATAAAAATATAATAGTACTAAAAAGAATAGTCAAATAAAATAAAATATGTCATATGAAATAATATGCATTTAATGTAAATATATTTACAAGTATTGTATCTATAGATGACAAAAACATGAAGATAAACACCGAAAAGGTATTGCAACAGCCAAAGTATTGAACTTTTTTAATAAATTATTTGATTCGGCTAATGGAAATGAAAAGACAATTGACGATCACAATGAATTACGGCGTCCAGTGTAGATATTGCACATCACGAATTTTGGGTAAATGCAAAGAATATACTGTGAGATATGTATTATATAGAAAAATTATCACTATCATGTATTTTTGGTCAAATTCGAAGTCACGCTGTTCGCCATATCAATATGATACTTTGGCGCGCGCGCGTGTATGTGTGTGTGTGTGTGTGTATGTCATGTATTTATTATGTAATTATTGTTATGTGTGAATGAGCGTATGCATTGCAGTGGAGTATTTATAAGTTGTGTTTCGATATACATTGCCAATACTGAAAATCTATAGTATATGTAAATTATACTAACAGACTTTCAGCACTTTCAGCAATGTATCGGAACACGGCTATAATATGCTCTGCATTGCAATTTTTAATCACTGGATATTTAATATTTTTTCATCCGCAGTCTTGTCAAATAGGACGGAAAAATGCATTGCAAAACCAAAATTAGACAAAAATATATTTATTATTTAGTTATTAAATAATGTAATTAATAAAATAATATTAAGCTTAATATAAATGTATAAAATTGTATGTGAAATTCAAACAATTGTATGCAAATAGCAAATTTAAAAATTATACGTATACATATTATATTAGAAAATATACATATTACAATAAATAATCATAATACAGAATAAATCATAATACAGAAGAAATAAGATTTTTTGAAATTACCTTCATAATATTATAATTAATATAATTTAAAAAAACAATAAAATGTTATCAATTTTTAAGTTTTAATTTATTTATTTAAAATAAATATTTGTATTATTTAGAAAAAAAACAAAAATATTGTCTTTAACAAAAAATAAAAATATTTTTGCGATATTTTAAGTCATAAGTTTCTGAGCAGTTAATTTTTGTCGTTTGCATTATTTAAGATTACATAAAAAGATTGTATAAAATATATTTAATAAGTAAAAATTTAAGTCATAAGTTTCTGAGCAGTTAATTTTTGTCATTTGCATTATTATGTATACATCAGTACTTAATAATGTTACTTTTACAGGTTTGCAAGAAACAAGTGTATAATATGAGACGTTGCATCTAGATTTAACCTACCAAAATACTTGTCATTCTATCACATCAAACGTTATGAAATATTTCATTCATATTGCTCCAAATATAATAAAAATGCCAGACACGGAAGAAAAGATTAGTTGCTCATGAATTTGAAGATGTACGTAATTTTTTGTTTATGTTTAAATAAATGCATAAGTTATTAGACTAATAATTATTAGTAGATAGTAATTATTATAGATTATTTTAAAACATTACATTTTCAAATTAGATAAAGGTAGATTATCTAACGCGATTTTTTATATTTATTATAATTTTCAGATAATCAAACAGGTTATTTTAGAATGTCCATGCGGAATAGAAATCTTTGATAATACGAAAGAATTTTTAAGCGATAGAAATAGAAGACAGATGATAATATAATAGTGGTTACTCAAATGCTTACTTTGAAAAATTAAAGTATCAATTAACTTCATTAGATAAATGTCAATTTGCCCAAACTATAGAGAAATTTTTCCGAAATTACGAGATCCTAATTACATTAAGCTGTGTAAATATTATACAATTTAAACAATACATTAAAAAATTTTAATATTCTATTAATACATTACAACAAAATTTTTACATTTTTATTTTATTTATTTTTTTAGGAATCTTTTTATGCTCCAATAACTAAAACAGATTATTTAGCAAATAGGCTCTCCAATGCAACAAGAGGTATAAAAAGAAAAAGAACGTCTGAAGAATCTAAAAACGTTCACGATAAAAACATTTCAGAAGATGAAAATGAGGACTTAACTCAAATTAAAATTGATATTCTTTTCCACAAAAGTGCCACACAAGATAAAAAAATCACAAATTATTTCTAAACATAAAACTATATTTCAGTACAGATGGTCGTACAGTACAGATAATGGTCGTAACGAAGAGAATAAAATATTTTATGTGGTAACAAAAAATTTACATATTTTTTTATAATAAAAAATGAAAAAATCAATAAAAAATTTTAGGGAGTTTGAGTCCTCGCCAATTCTCGCTCTAGTTCATGATCTAGTTATAACTAATGTTTAAAATTAATGCAAGAACTGCGACAGTATTATGCTTAAACATCCAATTTCCAATGTTCTCTCCTGATTATAATTCAAGTTTTGTTCTATTTTTGTCCTGAGTCAAATGCGATATTAATGATTCATAATAAAGTTGGTATTGTATGTACAGGCAGATTCGCGTATGTTGCGCGCATTTTATTCTATATTCTTTTTGCGCTTGATATGTTTTTTGTGCATGTATGTACGAGTGTGAGAACGAATGTCGATTATTAATCAATGCGGCTTAGGTTGATAATCTACCTATTCACTCAGAAGAATTACACGGAGATAAACTATTCTCTCGATGTAATTCAACAATTGTGCTTGCCTCATATTCTAATTTATCTGTTCAATAATAAATAACTCAATCGAAGCGGTTAGAGGATTCCCGAAGCTGAAGGCTCGGACTTGAATTAATATTCTGGAATTCTTGTTCAGCCTTTGCTTGTTAAAAAACGTATTTCTTAAGGTACCATTTCATATAGCTAATAAAGGCTGGCGTTTTACTCCCACTCCATGAATTTTCGTATATAACGAAGTTACATTCAAAGTTCGATGTTGTTCAACTAATAGCGAACATCGCTGAAATACATGATATGTCATGTCATGTTCATGGAATCGTATGTCTTCCAAGATTAATTTTGGAAGCGAAGTAAAGAAAAAAATCGTGCCATTTTTGGGTGCTATTCATTACTTTTTCTTCTTGTATTTTTTTTTCTTACGTCCGCGTGAACAGGACCGTATAATCCATGGTGGAATTAATAAGGTAAAACACTCCTATGAATGCGCAGTAGGAGAGTGAATTTGGTTAACATTTGGGTAATATTTTATTTGGGTAATATTAATTAGCTGTTCCAGTATAATCAGCACTATTATAATATATTACGTAGGAAAGTGTATATTGGGAAACATTTGATTGATTATTTCCATTATTACATATTACTGTCACCATTATATACGCTACATAATGTTTCACTTTATTAATTCCACTACGGCGTAATCGTAATCCCACAGGTTAAAAAAATTTTTCTCTATTTTTATAGTTTCGATGAGATATTCTCTTAAAAATGCATATGGGTATGTATAAAAAATACGTGTTCTTTACCCCAGATAGCCAAGTCTGTAAAAAGCAGATTTTTTTAATGTTTGCTACACACTATGCCAACAAAATGATAACAGAATTAGATGTACATAATACTGTTGACAGACTGCTAGAAAAAACGTAACAGAATCTGCAAATGTCAGATAATGTCGGCAGGATCTGCTCAGTTTCTGCCAACAATTTGCTTTCATATTATGTCGACATATTATGTCGAGGCGATATTAACAGAACACAAGCCTAATGCGGACGCAGTTGATGGCAGACTGCCATCATTTTCTGCTCGAACCTGCTAAAAAACTGCAGACATTTGGACTATCTGGGTCATATTGGTCTAGAGATTTTCAATATAGATATCGTATATGATTATTCAGTTATCTGGACATATACATATTATATATATAACTTATCAAAATCGAGGACTTTCGTGTGTTTTCTTATTAACTTTAGAAATCTTTTAAATACAAAATATCAAATATTATCAAATATTATTAAATTTAACATCTTATAAAATTTTCAATATGTAAATTTTATTGATTCTTGAGATTCATTTAATTAAAGATTAAATGACTGATACATGTTTATGTTGCAGTTAAATCATGGAAAGTCATAATGTTTCCAAGAAATCTTAAGAATCAACAAATATTTTCTGTGCTATGTTAATTTTCAATGGGCAAGTTTTTTCAACATCCATATTATTCAACGGCCGAGATAATCGCGGTAAAAGCCCGCTACTATTAACACGCCTCTCGCAAGACGACAGATTCTCTAATGACGGAAACCACGAAGAAGCGATGCTGCGTGCGTGCTATCGGCAATCGGCATGCTCCGCTACATCCGCTGCAGCAGCATGCACCGGACCCGTAATTACGAGATCATTTTCCTCGGTCAACAGCCTTGTAAATCATTCTGCGCAATACCCTATGGATGACGTTTGCGTTCGCGTCATCATACGGCAAAAGAAATCGTTGGCATAGCAATTTCCTTGACGGTGGTCTGAGCTGTAAATCCTGAACCTCAACTCCTTCGCAGATATGATCGATACATCGCTTTCGTCTCCTCGCGTTTTTCCTCCGATCCGAAAAGTGCACGATATCCTCGCAGTTTGTAACGATATCTTTTTAATAGTTGAGAACCGGCGGCTACTTAGAAGAACAGTTTCCAATCTTACGTATAAAAATAAAATTAATTCTAAAAACTTGGTATTTATACTCTCGCATTTCTTATTAAAAAAAAACATGATAATACTGGCTCGACCGTTTTAACGTTTTTATCGTTTTTAAAGATTTTCAAACGATCCTTTCGCAACGAACGCATTTATCAATACTACTCGCGTCTATAAACATTCGATATCCAATGATATACTACACTGAAGAGTTCCCGCGATCTTTCAACTCCATACACGTAACATCATTTGTTCCGGTCGACCCTAGACTCAGTTATCGCCAACGATTTCCCGTAGATGTTGAGTATACTACAATAGAAGAAGGCGCGCGCTTAGCATACAGTATTGTAAATACCTTCTTCGTCGTCGCCAGTGCTCGCCGATACATCGGACATCTCGGAATGGGATAGTGCAAGCTTCACATAGCCCCGATCTCGTTCTCTGGTGCCATTACTCCCTCCTACCGGCAGCGATTTATCCTCATGCGGTGAATCCCGCGACGAACCATTGCCGCTGCCGGGTTCACAAATTTCGGCATAGATTTCTTCCAATTTCGGCGGCGGAGTGGGAGGCAAAGGCGTGAGACTGTCTCTCACTTTAGAGTACGGTGGATCCATGTCTGGACTGCTGGTTTGCATCTCGAGGACGCTCGTCGAAATCGAACGCTGCACTTGTTGCCTTGAAGTCTGTGATGCCTGCATCAAGTTTGTATCTGATTCTAAACTGGCGTACCTCTCTGGTGACCGCATGCCGATTTCCGGTCGTACGGCAAATGTGAAAGATGCTGATTTCTTTGCTGGATTTCTGCTTTTGCCACCCTGCGCTATCCTCGAGATTCTGTCGAGAAAGCTGTGATTATTACCGGCGTTGCGGCTATTGCTTCGATCGCGGATTGTCGTCTTCTTGATGTGCTCTAGGCCCTCTTTCAAGCTCTGCAGTATCGGCTTTGCCTCGGGCTTCGCTTTAATTTCCTTCAAATGCAGTTCTTTCAGTTGATTATTGTTGGAAGTTGGTTTCGGCGGTGCGACTCGAGGTTCGGTCGCTCTCTGGTCTAAGGCTCTTCTATAAAACAATTATTTATTTCATATATAAAGTAATAATTATTTTTAAAAAAAAAGTTCAATCAATAAGAATTATGCGCACAGAAAAAAATGTTTGATTGAATTAATTGGAATTCTGGTGAAAAATGAACGATACAGAATTCTAGTTAAATCTACAAGATTGATACATGAATCTACCGTTCTCTAAAGAGACAGTCTCACGCCATTGCCTTCCACCACCGAAATTAGAAGAGATCTATGTCAAAATTTGTGAGCCCGGCAGCAGCAATGGTTCGCGGGATTCATCGCATGAGGTTAAATCTATTAAAATTCTAGTTAAAATAACCAAGTATCTTTCACCAAGTATCTCGTGAAGTATTGTTCACGAGATATTTCTTAAGGTCAATCGGTTTGAAATTTTAACATAGTATTAGTTTCATTTTAAATAATATTCTGTGTAATTTTTAGATAGATCGAAGCATTTCGATTTTTCGATCGTATCTCCTTAAAAAAAAAATTTTCCCTTTATGAAATTATTATATTTTCCTAAACTATTAATTTAGTATAAAATCATATACACACATATATATATATATATATATATATATATATGTGTATATATTATCTTTTTAATAACCCAGTTTTATTAATCCTTATTCTTTATTAAAATTGCTTTATTAAAATAGTAACTGTTTTTAAAATTAAACATTTTAATTTTAAAATCTACATTAATACTGCACAATTTAAATAATTACATTTCATAGAGTAAGCTGTTCTTTTCCACGTAGTGATTAAGATTCTTCTTACCTGCAAGCTGAAAGTAATCGTTGCATTTTCGGCGAGGCGAGCAATCTTGCCTCAGAAGGACATCCCAGTCGTGCTCTTTTCACCCGAGGCGCGGTCGGACCAGTCGCGACGAGCTCCAGGAGTTCTGGCACCGTGGTATTGGGTAAGGGTCTTTCGGGCATTAGCGGTACTGCACAGCCAAGAACTATCGGCCCTCTATTTGCGTTCTCCAACTGCATCAGGCCGCTATAATCTCGCGGCAACGGTATAGGCAGTGGTCCAGCGACTAGACGTACCTGGAAATCATACGCACTATTATATATCAAAGAAGCAATAACTATTTTTTGAGTTAAACAAGATTTTGTTATTTTTAACTTAAATGTATGTCAAAATATAAATCAATCCATTTCTGTAGTTAGTTTCAAAGTAAACAAAGTTCATACTAATGTATATACTTACAATCAGTAAATAATAAACTAAATTTAAGCCAAACTATTTTCTTGAGTTAAATTGTTTAACTCTAACTGCTTTAATTAAATTAACAACATACTGAGTAGAAGCAGTGGCGCCTTATAGAAATGATAAAAATAACTTAAATTGAGTACAATTTGATATTATGAATTTAACAGTGTATAACTACAATTAATTAATTTTGAAGTTTTGAGAGACGAGATTTACCCTCAAAGGTAGATCCCTTCTGGCAAGCTGATGAACCCTGTAGAGCACTGCGTCGCTGCCGGTGTCGAGACTACCGCTCTGGCAAGTCGCATAGAACTCGCCTCTAGCTGAAAGTGGCGCGAACAACTCATGCCCGTGAGAGTCCAAGCACTGAGCATATTGATCCCGCTCCGAAGATCTCGAGCATTTGCCTTCCGAGACGATTCCAGACACGCCACTGGTAACGGGGGCGCGACGAGTATCCTGGAAAACGGCAGTAAGTCGCAGGACCTCACCAGCGCGCACCGTCGTCTTCGTGTAATGAGCTCGCAAATTTCCATTTTCTGCGACAAAAATCAACTTAAACTTGATATATAATACTATTACCGTAAACGATAAAGTTTAATTGAAATTTAACGGATTCAGTTTTTTTTTAAATTAATAAAAAGAAAAAGAATAAGTTAAACCTGTGTTAACTTTAATTACTGTTTGGAGAAATGGTTTATAGAGACATTAATTGAAGCACATTAATTGATTTAATGTTTTCGCAAATCACAAACTAGATCCAAAGGGAACGATATCAATTGTTTATAATTAGCACCGGATAAAAAAAAATCATGTCGATAAACGCGACACTTGAGTTAACCCTTATCGTACACTAGCTACAATTTGGCGTCGCTTTGATGGACCCGAAGGCTATAGACGCAATTTTCTACATTTCTAAAAATAAAAAAATTTTTTTGTATGTTGAAATATAAAAAAAACATAATGCAAAAAGCATTATTTTAATACTTCTTTCCTTTCTTTATGAAAAAAATTGGTAAAAAATACATAAATTTTAAACCTCTGGACTAGAACTTCTTCTTAAGGTGTCTTTTGACGCTGACGCTCGACGCTCATTTTCAGTGTCAAAATAAGTGATAAACATTGATGAATATCAAGCGTCAATTTTGATCACAACCTATTTTGACGCTGAAAATGAGCGTTAAGCATGAAAAGGCACCTTTAACGTTTATTTATTTATATTTAATTGTTTTAAGCTGGACGAAATAATGCCAGAGCTCAAAGGTCGCTTCGAAAGAACGCGAATTACTTGCACATAGCGAATTCAATATAAACTGAAATTCGACCCACCATAATCACTGAAAAATCACCAACTATTCTTCTATAAATTATTGAATATGATTTGATATTTTCTATTTAATATAATATTCTCCTAGAGTCTTAAACTTTCATTATTTCATTACACTATAGAGGTATAATCTTTGGAAATTTTAACTTTACTTCTATATCTTTTTCTTACTGTTATTGTAGATATATAGTTTTATAAAGGTACATTATATATATATATATATATATTATATTCTCACACGTCAAGAAAGTCATCACACATGCTTCTAACGTAATAACATGTCTCTGACCGTCTAAACTGGCCGTTTGATATCATCTTGAAATTCGAGGAACATACCAGCGAATTTCCATATGAATCGTATGCATCGATCGTGTACCGTTGCGCTGATGCGTAGGTATGATCAGAAGGCGGGGTGGCGAGCAATTAACGACAATAAACGCGTCGGATAACGGAATCGACGTCGCCGCTGCAAACTTACGGGACCTATTCGGATCTCGTTGAAAGGAGGAACCGAGAGAGGGATGCACTCGCGTAAAAATCCTTTTCCGCCGTGACCATAATCGTTACAGCAGCATGTAATGGCATAATGCTCGCGCCGCGAGCTGTATCGGTGTGTATGTGTTCGTGAGGACGGCTTTCACCGGACCGCGTGCCTATTACGTTAACGCTCTCGTCGCGCGTAAACCTCGCCTTACGTATATGTTTAAATGCACGAGCGTATGCCGCGAAAGTCACGCATTACGGACACATTGACATTCGTGTCACGGCCAGTCGCTTGCAGATCGAAAAAATAATCCACGAGATTTGTGCACACGCCTGTTGCCTTGTACGTATGTACATATTGCGAGACTGTGGGACGTTGGAGTGCATCCGTTCACGCAGCTGTTCTAGTCACGTGACCTAAATTTACGAAACGAATACCTGCGTGATCAGCTACTCAAATCATACCTTCCAATAGAAAATCTGGACAAAACTTTAAAAAAATTTCTAATTATAGTAGTTATAGACGAGGATATTTTGAAAGCATAAATAACTTCTTATTCTAATGAAAATACAGCTTTTTGTTATTTATAAAATGTCTGATTAATTTTAAAAATATATAATTAGGAAGTCTAAGAATACCTCTTTTCTCATATGTTAGATATTTCACTGAAGCCGTATTCAAAGCACATGCACAAAAAAGAGTCTCTGAGAATAATACTGATCAGAGGAAGAACAAAACCAAAGGTTTTATGTTATATTAAACAAATGATCTTGACGTTCGTCTATTTGTGTACAATCACCATTTCTCCGAATACTACAACTTTCCCAAACTTTACAAAGGAAGTTTCTCATATCTCGGAAAAGAATCTATGTTATTAACAAGATTGTCTGCGTTATTAACATGATTACATGAACCACGGTGTGCAGCTCGTAACCGGTGTGCATTTCCACAAGCAGATAGCAACGGATGATAACTGCAACCGTGACAGTTGGAAAATGTGGACTTAGGCTGTGTTCCAAAATTTACTGTCAGTACTGAAAATCTATACTTTACATTACGTGCACTAGCTTTTCAGTAAGTACAGTAAATTTTAAACACAGCCTTAAGTTAGCCAAGATACTAAACTTAACGGGATGCCAGATATACGTGACGCTAGATACGTGGATAATTTCCGTCCAATTAACTCGCCAAAACGTTCGCGAAGAAAAAATAATGTATAAAATGATGAAAATAATTCTGAGTTATTGCTAAATTAAAGAAATATTTCATTCAACATTTGATAAAAAATTTATATCACCGATGTTCAACTTTGACATGTATTGCAAACAGTTTTACAATACAGACAGATTGTTGATAAAATAACTTACCCATTTTGGAATGTGTCAACGTGTAAGCTCGCAGTGGTTTCGCGAGCAAGAACGCCGGCACTCCTGCGCGCACCAAGGCGCCGACTCTTCTGTACACTCTAGCATTTCCGGTACCACTGTTGCTGGACACTACTGAGAACCAGCCTGCAACATAAAAAACACATGTAAGACATAATCGGAAAAAAGATAATTGAAAATAATTTACGAATATCAAAATTAAAAAAAAATAAATTATTGTATCTTTTTTCATCTTTTCTTCTTTTTTAAAGATCAACATTAGCAAATATCATACACATACGTAACATACATTATCCACATTAAATACAGTCAATATTTAGTAAATGTATGCAAAATTGGCGTATACATTGGCCATATTGTCTGGAGGCGCCTTTACAGGCATGTTTCACAAAATGTAAAATGAAGATCCTATTAGGTATCTCACCTCGGTGAATGTTTATTAAGAATGTGCGTGTAAAAATAATTCGGTGAGCGCGTTGAAGGTGAGAAGTAGAGAGGTTTAACAAAGAACACTCGCGCATTTACAAAAATAATTGATCATTTATTTTTATTATAATTTTAATACGAACTATTTGACTATTTGACTGGAAGTTCGTTAATGACGTGGAATGACGAAAGTCATGTGCGCATGAAATATTTGAACCATTCCGGCCGAATAACGTGAATATCATGGAATTAATAATGAACTAATAATGAATTAATAATAAATTAATTCCAGATTAATTGTAATATCCTGAGCTATATCTACGCGAGTAAGATCAACTCCAAGATTTATTCGATATTCGAGACTTGTATGACTTATTCTGAAGCTCATTATTCTGAAATTATTTCGTGACAGCACCTCATAAGGAGATTATATTTCTCTTCTACTTTAATTTAAGATACACTCGCTTCTATAATACTAAGATATTCACCTGTCGACGTTTGTAAATATTTAGCTTCGGCTGTGTTTGTATCTTACAATGGGTACGTTTCAGTTAGCGTTCTCAACATTCGTGACCTTAAGTGAATCGTGTAGTAAGCCTTAAACCATAAGAAATTAACTAATTACAGTCGAATGTTAGAAGAATAATCGAGTAATAATCGAAGAATAATTTAGTTAATTTCTTATAATTTAAGGTTTACTATTTCTTAATGGGCTTTCTACATGCCATTATCTAAGTTTTAAGTTTTAAACCATAAGAAATTGACCAATCACAATAGAAGATAAGAAGAATAATTGACTACGATTGGTCAATTTCTTACGGCTTAAGACTTAAAGCTATGATGATGACTTATTGTAAAGAACCTATAAAATATCGCTTTATAGTTTCGACAATGTTCGGTATATTAAGTAAATATCTTACTTAATAGTATCAAGAGCATTACAAAACAATGCACAAAAGAATGTTTTGCTAGTAAAAGGTTTTGCTTTTTAAAAAATCTAGAAATTTAAATAGATACAGATCTGAAAGTATAATTTTGTTGAACTATTAAAATAATTATATAAGATATTGATCTCAAGCTAATTGTTAGAATATCAAAATTTTTTGCAATTTTTTGCTTGAGTCGCCTTCATATTTTCATATTTTAAAATCATTTTCAGATCTGTATTTATCTAAATTTCGATAAAATCGTTCTTTCTGTGTAAGATTCTCACATTTTTCGTTTACTTCATAGGAATATAACGTTGTTTCCATTTACAAAAGATTAGAGTTAAACGTATTATGTTTTTTGTAAAAGATACATTCTGGTCCCAAAACGCGCGATGTTTCATCGACGTCAGAGGAATTTCGCTTTCTCGTAGGACATGAGATGATGCGGCACGTGTTGATTGTGCACGACATCGCGCGTCGTTTCTCGTTTCGTTTCGTTTGGCTCGTTCGTTAACGCTCAGCTTCATTCTGCGCCCGAAACACGACAAATATTACCGTTGCTGCACGCGTGGAAACTCGTTCCACTTTGCGGCGCGCGACGCGCGCTTTCGCATGGAGCGGGGAAAAACCGGCTGACGCGCGACGCGCGCTTTCGCATGGCGCGGGGAAAAACCGGCCGACGCGCGGCGCGCAGACTGGTTTCATAACCTACGTTCCAGCGCGCTATTAAAATCATCGACGGCCAACTAATAATCCTTTTGCGAAATCACAATGTCAATTTGACCCACTTTGTTAATACCGAGCACGAGTACGAGAACGCGCAGCTGAAAACGCGTTTTGAAATAAATATCGACGTTTATAGCTCGACCTAACGAGATCTTAAGTTCCAGTTTCATAAAGATAATTTAAGTCACCATATAACGCTGATCGAATTACGCCTCTAAATCAAGCCTGAATTTTCATTAAATCTGCTGACTATATAACGCGTGTCTAAAGTTACTTTTTGTCGTTACTTTTCTAAAGTTACTTTTCTTTCTCTTAATCTTTTCTTTCTTTCTCTTTATATGGCGCGATTGAAATTATTTATACAATTTTGAAATAATTTATAAATCAATAAATGTATTATTCAAGTTTCAATGTGATTTAATTTCTTTTCAGTCATCCATACAAGATGGAGAGGATTACTTGTAGGAATAATACTCGACGACAATCCGATGATCACGAGTTCAGATTAAATCGATAATCCGTTGTCCATTTGTGGTGCGGTGTGGATCGTGCGGAAATTTATAGCCGAATATAAATGTGCTCATTTCGTGGCAAGGTATTTACAGTATGAGCATATAAATCGCTGAATCGTTTCGCAAATGATTTACACATCGCCATTTCCGCCATTTCGAATTGATTTACACACTGAGCCTGTTGCACGAATCTCGATGATCATCCAGCTCTTTTTACGAAACGTCCTTTCCGCGAACGGATATTGCGGATGTTTTATCGGCTATCGGCTATCCGGACGTTTGCAGGCAATTTCGGATTTATCGTTAATCGGCCTTCACAATGTGCGATCCAACCAAATTAAATCACAATGTCTTCTTTTGGAAGATCGAAATAAATGCGCGCCACAGAATTAACGACGCGCGATAAATTTTAAATTTAAATTTTGTTCAAGTTCGACTAATTAGATCCTACAGTTTTTTTATTCCACATCTTTTGCCAACATAAATTCGAAACAAAAATTCGGAAGACATTGAGTGCAATTATACTCGCATATCATTCTGAATGTAATAAAACCTTCGCGTGTTCTACTCACTGCAAAAATATGAAGTGCAAGCTAAAAAACATTACAAGACGTGTAAAACGTTATAAATGAAGAAAGTAAGATAAGTTCTCTCCAATTAACTGACTAGTTCTGAATAAAGAGAAAGTATCTCAAGTCACAACAAAACCGTTCAGCAGCGTTTAATGGCACAGACATTTCTATCGAGTTACGGTACTATTGTAGTGCGAATTATTATAAAGTCATTCTCGATAACTATAGCTACTGACTGTCAAATCGTTTATGTAATCACCACGGTGCACTTGTCATTATACGCGATTTATAGTTCCATATCCGCAATTTCACTGCGTAATAGAAACGATAAAACGCACGCAGAAAGGCATGCTTAGCGTATCTCAGCGACTTCCGTGGCGCACGATACAAATCGATCGAGAGATTTTCTCGCAGAACACGCATATCGCCTACGAGAAAATCGATTACGGACGTAACTGTTATAATGCTTATCAAGCCGATTCATTCACCAACAAGCTCGTGCTCGCCTTGGCTGATCAATCTCGACCTCGATTTCACTTGTGTTATACTTCCCGCTTCTCTGGAACACCTACTACTTGAGCCAGGTTCGGAAGCTAGTAGTAATATGTGTTCGACTTAATCGTTATTAACTGAAAACTGGAGCAAATTATTATTTTATTGATATTACTGTGTGTCGACACTTTCGTAATGTTTTCTTCTTCTCTACTTTCTACAAATCAATTACCTGTTTTCCTTCTTTTTCTCTTTCATTTTGTTTATTTCAATTGCTTTAATTATCAGTAAACATATACACTATTAGAAATGTTCTTAAATTTCATTAAATTTTAAGTTATATAATTTGAACCTAATTTCATGATATTACATTAAATTTAATGTATTTATAACTAAAAAGTATATTTGTGTACATATAATACATAAAATTTAATGTATTTTTCATGAAAATTTATGAAATTTAATGTACTTTTCATAAAATTTTATTAAAAGTACATTAAATTTCAAACAAGTACATTAAAAATGTTTAATGTTGTCAATGAAAATAAAGTTATAAGTATGTATATGTGTACTTACATTAAATTTCATGCAGATTTACATAAAATTTAATAAAAAATGTATTAAATATCGTAAAATTTTATGAAAAGTACATTAAATTTTATGTATTTATATGTATACAATTATATTTTTCAGTTGTTTAACAGTGTACCTACACTGTTAAAAATTGTTATGAAATTTAATATACTTTAAAATTACATAAATTAAATTTTATGACACTAAATTAAATTTAACGTATTTGCAACTGAAAAATATAATTGTATACATATAAATACATAAAATTTAATGTACTTTTCATAAAATTTTACGATATTTAATACATTTTTTATTAAATTTTATGTAAATCTGCATGAAATTTAATGTAAATAAACATATACATACTTATAACTTTATTTTCATTGACAACATTAAACATTTTTAATGTACTTGTTTGAAATTTGTTTCCATTACATGTAACGGAAGCAAATTTTTATTTTCTTAACAGTGTACGCTTTACACTATGAAAGTAATCAAGCGTATATACAGGATATTTCATTTTAAATAATACAGTCGATTATCTTGAAGAAAAACATTTTCAGGAAAAACGTTTCAGACAAAAATCATATGGTTTGAAGGATAAATAATAATAAAATCAATTTTGAATAAAATCGATTTTTTAAGATTACGTGACTACTATAAGAGTCATACACTGATATTTTTTGAAATAAAATTGATTTTTTTTCTTAAGTTAATTAATTTTTTAACATGATTCTTCAAATTATTTCGCATATAAAATTTCAAGTTATTACATAAAATTTCAATTAAATCATTCATTACTTTTAATTTCATTCATAACCAGCTTCATTTACATGTAAAGGAAACATTTCTAACATTATAATGATGAATACGTGCGAAAATTAAATTTTATTTAT